AAATGTCCGAGCATCTTCTCTATTGCTTGACCAACAGTAGTCCAAATCAATCATTTTAAACAACAAATCCTTTTGGCCTCAACTCATACGTATACAACTAGTTACAGTCTCATTGAAAATCTAGTCGAGACTCAGAGGACGCTGTAGTAGCACTTGCAGAAGCAGGTTCTTTGTACCATTCATTAGCCTCCCGAGTCATAAAGTTTGCTTCTGCAACAAGCGTACAAGAACCAGAAGATGATGGATGATTAGAAGAAACCACAACTTGTAACTGTTGATACCAAATTTACAAGAGAAAGAAAGAACATAATACCAGACAAGAAGACATTCTTGTATTCATCATCATCATATATAAACTGCGGAGGATCTGGTGAACCAATACCCACAATGGTGCTCCCACTGATAATTAGCATACATAAAATTAGCACAAGTACAAACTCAAGGTTCTGATTAATAATCTCATATTCTAGCAAATTACATAAGATCTTTTACGATCCGTTTTGTTAGACAGATAGTAGCATCTCTGTAAGTTGCTGCACACTCAAACTACTTGATGAGCTCCTATGCAATGCTTGGGATTTTTAAGATGATGATGTCACAATAGACAGAAATAGTTGTAGCGAAGGCATACCTCCCAGACATAAAGACGGCATCATATTCACCCCGCCCAGATGCTATTATACGTTGCTTCAAGCATTTAAGAGACGGAAGAACTGTAAACGCTGGCAGTTCTGGAAATGTCAAAAGTGTAGAAAATGTAAGTCCTGGTCCACATACCATAATAAATCTTGATATTTAAACAAGTGAAATATCTTCTTGAGAAAGGAAGGAAGACATCACAGATGCATATAGATCATACCCAAATCGTTTACGCAAATGCTCTGAGATACACCATTGCTGGTGACATTCTCCAGCAATGTCAAGGGACTAATGGTGCTCGTTTGATCTAGACGAAGACGCTGAAAAATAAAAGCTTAAGCCATGAAAAGTTTCTAAAAGTAAAATATCCATCATCAGTTTGAGTTGATTACTTTGTATACTTCAGCAGTGGAACATGCTTCTCGTGGCTTTATGAGCACCATCGGAAGATCTAGAGGAAAAGGAGGAGGAAGGTCTTGGACAATCTGCATTAGCCTTTAGATTAGAATTCAGCAAAATAAGCATTCACAACCCCAAAGCCCAAAATTAATTAATGTAAGAGAACTGAATCAGAACAAGGGGTTTGCAACGTTGTAGAATGCCGCAAAGGGGAGCGAGTGAGAAATCTAAACAAAACATACCTCACCTCTCCCGGTACAATAGGCAGCTCCATGTGAGAAGAAGAAAGGAATATCTGACCCAATTTCACTAGACCAATCTTGGAGTTCCTTCTCAGTGGCAACACCTCCATTGAACTGATTTGCCGCCCAGAGTGCAGTTGCAGCATTACTGCTCCCACCACCGAGCCCAGCCCCGGTAGGCACCTTCTTGTCTAGATGAATCTGTCAATACCAAGAGAGAGAGAGAGTATAATAAGTTTTGGTAGAAGTTGTCATAAAAGGAATCATTTTTGTCTAGTGTTTTTACCCAGAAGAACTTTTGACTACCAGTTTTCTTCCTGTAAAGGTTCAGTGCTTTTATAATCTGCAACACACCACAGAGAATTAGAAAAAACGCTTCACACGCAGATAATCTGCAATGAGAATAAAGAGAATCATCTCACGAGATTTCTCGCATCGACGGGGACTCCAGGGACGTTGGTAGACAGACGATCTTTGGATTTGGATGGTGACAATGAGAATTTAATAGTGTCTCCTAAGCTGATCACCTAATCAAATGCGAGACTAGAGATATGATTCAAAAGCAAAAGCTTAAGACTAGAGATATGATTCAAGAAGAAGAGAATGGGGAAGGGACATACATGAAACAAAGAGGCTAAATCATGAAACCCATCTTCCCTCTTGCCAGTTATCCTCAAGAAAACATTGATCTGAACAAAGGGTAAACGACATGGTCCAAGGTGAAAAGAAGAAAATTGGATCAAGAAAGTGTTAATCTTTATAACCTTGCAAGGCGAGAAGAGCTTAAGCCTGGATAAAGGAGCTTCTTTGTCAACATCATCGCCTATCTTATTTAGCCTCTCGTCAGGATCAAACACTATCTAACATGACCCATCCACACACACAAACCCATTACAAATAGAATAGGAGATAGACAAATTAACACTAAAATCTGACCTAAATTGATAAGACCCAAAGAAAAAGGAAGATAAATTGGGATTCCATTACCTCTACTTGCTTTCGGGAAGCTTTCACGGAGAAACTCACAAGCTTCTTCGGGGTAAG